TTAATATAAAAACCATTAAATTATTTCTATAAAGAATATTATTACTATAAATAATAAAAGTATTATTTATTAAGATTTCTTTATTAAAAATTAATATATTATCTAATATACTAGAGATATATATATTATATTAGTTTATTAACTGAAAGCTTTATATAACCTATTAATTATTACTTAAATTCTTAAATTCCTTAAAACTAATATAAAGGTATTTAATAAATACATTTAATAATAAATTAAAAATACTACTAGAGAACTAAGATTTATAAAGCTAGTAAAGAAGTTCTTATATTTAATTGTTTTTATAAATACTTTATTTATAAATAATAGAAAGTTCTCTTTTTAAGTTAAATATATTCTAGTTTTAATAAATAAAACTAAATATACTAATATTATTTACTTGTTCTTTACTAAATATAAAAGAATTACTAGAAGTATTTTAGCTATAAAACTATATAATATAGCTTATAGCTTTAATATAAGTACTTTAATTAAATTTATAATTAATAGAATATTAGAAATAGAACTATTACTAGTTATTTATATAAATTTAAAGTTATTATATAAATGCCTTATTAAATTAGATATTACTTAAAAGAAATATCTAATAATTAATATAATATATCTTTACTAAATAGATAAATAATAAGAGATTATAGAAATTAAATAAATTAAAGAAGAATTTAATTCTACTAATTCTATAACGAAATTAAAGCTATTAAATACATTTAAGCTCCTTATTAATATAAATACTATATAATTAAATATAAAGAAATAAATCAAATATAAATTAATTAGGAAATAGATATATTAGATACAAAGAAATAGAAATATAAAATAGAAAAATATATATAGATATATAAAGTATTTGAGAGAATTTAGTATTAGGCCGAATTAGGAAATTAGTATATAATTAAAGAGAAATACTATTTTTCGTATTTCTAGAAAGATTCTAATATTAATATAACCATTACTTTAAAAGTTATATATTTAGTTATAAGATTTAAAAGTAATAGAATATAGGTAATAAGATAAAGATAATAAAATATAAAATACAAAATATAGTTATATAACCTTATATCTTATAGATAACTTAATTAATAGCTAGTTTCTATTAAGCTTAATAGATTTAGGAATTATATATTAATATTATAATATTATAATTCTTATTTCTAAAAATATTAATTACTTTACTAATTTATATAAATAGAATTTTATAATTATATAATAATATTATATATTTCTAATAAATTAATAATTACTTGTTTTTATATATAGTAATAAAGAATTATAGCTTATTAATAAATTAGTCGAGATTTATAATTGAGTTTAAAACTATATATTAATATATTAAAGAGCCTTAATAAAAAGTAATAATATTATTATAAAAGAATTTAGTATTTTATAAAGCAAATATAAAACTATATTATAATTAATATAAGTTATTAATTAGTAATTAAATAATTTCAAATATTAGCTTTTTGAAATATCTAGCTATTATAGAAAATAAAATAATAATATTTTATTTATTTAAATTTTAATATTCGAATTCGGGCTCTTTAAAGAAATTATAAATATTTATATAAGCTTTTATATATATATTAAAATAATTAATTATTATAAAAGTAGTCTTATATTTTTTTAATATAATAAGAAAAGCTTTTACAAATATCTTTTATAAAAGATTTATATATTAGTAAATATAATAAAAAATAATAGATTTATAATTAAAACTATTATTAGTTTTATTATACTTTTTTATTATATAAATTCTAGTAGCTTTTCTAATAAGCTTTATATTTTAAATTAATTAAAAGCTATTTAAGAATAGTAATAAAGAAGTTATAAAAGATATTAAAGAATATAAAAATAAATAAATGTCTTATATATCTTAGTTTAATTAGCTAGTTAATTAAAAAATATCTAGTTTCTCCTAAAGTAATATAAAATAATATAAAATAATATAAAGTAATATAATAAGTTTCTTTATAAAATCTAATTTAATTAAGCTTTCTTAAATAGTATTAGTATTATTTTATATATATTATATTTTCTTTTTAATAGCTTTAATTAAAAATTCTAAAATAGTAAAATATTAGCAATTTTATTTAATATAAATACTATTATAAATATTATAATTTAATATAATTAAATTAATTAAAAACTATATTATTAAAGTTTTTAAAGTTATTTTTAAATAAATTCTATAAATTATTACTAGTTATTTTATTTTAAATATATTAATATAATTTAGTATTTAAATATTTTTAAATATTCTTCTTTATTATTATTATTAAATTAATTCTATTTTCTCATTTTTTAATTCTTTTCTTTTATTTATTTTTATTTATAAGTAATAAATCTTTTATAACTAGAGGCCTTTTAATTTTTATAAAGTAATATTAATAATTTTCTCAAATATTTTTAATATTAAATTCTTTCTAATATATATATATAATTCGAAATAAGAAAAGCTTAAAGTAAAATAATTTATAATAAAAAGTTTAAAAGTAAAATATTGCGTTTTTAAAAGAATTTAAAGCTTAAGAAGTTAAAACACTTTAAAAAATATTTTAGAAAATAAAGTTTTAAAAGAATATTATATAAATAAATAAATAATTATTAAGAAAATAGTTTTATAAAAGATTCCTCTAATAATTACTTTAATAATTTATAAAAGATACTTGATTTTATAAAAGTAATTTTAATAATTACTTTAATAGTTTATAAAAAATATAAAAGAATAATTAAATAAGAATTACTTTAGTAATTTATAAAGATAAGAAGTTTATAATTTTATTAAAAAGCGATTTTAAGGATTTTAGTAAATAAAAACTAGAAGAAATTATTATTTTAAATATTATAAAGTAATTAAATTAAAATTAAGATATATAGTAAATAGTTATTACTAATTAAAAATAGCTTTATTTTAGACTATTATTACTTTTAATAAAAACTAATATTTTCTTTATAAGTTATTAAATGTTTTTAAAAAATTAATAAGTAATTTCTTTAATTTAAAATAAACTAGCTTTATTTTAGGCTATTAAATACTTTTAGTACTAAGCTAAATCTTTCTTTAATTTATATATATATAAAACTAATAAGTATTAGTTCTTATTAGTAATATATAATATTAATTATATAAGTTAATAAAATTAATTAATTTTTTTAGAAATAAGAAATATAATATTATAATATTAATAACTATTTCCCTAAATTTATTAAATCTAATTAAAATTAGTTTATTAGTTCAATTATATATATAATACGAGATTATATTATATATAAGGTAATAATAATAAATATAGTTATACTTATAGTTATAAAAATAAAGAAAAAATAAATAATAATAAATAAGTTCTCTTTATAATTTATAAGAAATTTATTAATAAATTTAGGCTTATTAATTTTTTTTAAAAAAAAGATTAAAAAAATAATAAGTTTTAAATATAGAAATATTTAATTTCTTTATAATTATATTAATAATTTATTTAATAATAATTAATTTTATATAAATATATAAAATTAATATTAATATTTTTAACTTTTTACTTAATATTATTATATATTATTTAATTAATTTATTAAGATATATATTTTATATTAATTAATATTAACTATTTTTAAATTAAGATATATAATAATTTTTAAATTATTATATATTAAATAATTTTAATATTTATTAAGATTATAACTAAATTATAAACCGAAAATTACTTTATTATATATTATATTATATTTAAAATATATAAAATATATAATAAACTCAAAAGTTTTAAATAAGAATTTAAAATAAGTTTTCTTTATTTTTTATTATATTAATTATTACGGGTATAATATTTAGGGCTCAAAAAGTAATATAAAGGTCCTTTATAAAGACGATTTAAAGCTAAAGAAAAGAAAACTAGAATATAAAAGGCTATAAAAGTAAAGTATACTTATAATATACTAGCTTCTAAGGGACCTAGTATCCTAAATATCTTTATATATATTTCTATACTAGCTATTAAATAATTATATTAGATAACTAAAATATTAGAACCTAAACTATAATATTAATAAATAAATATACTAATTTTAAATAAAATAAAACTTTTAATAATACTATTAATAAAAGTATAATTAAGTTTAAATCTTTTTTTTAAAAATAAGTGTTTCAAATAATAAAAGTAAAGCTTTATATTTAATTCTTTTTAATTCTCGAATTAATTAAGAAGAATTAACTAGTATTAGTTTATTTAATAATATATCTTTAAATATATAAGTAATTTCTTTTATTATTTCTTAATAAATATAATATATTTTAAATTATATTTAATTCTAATAAAAGTAACTTAAATATATATATTATTAATATATTTTTTAATATAAAAAACTAATTAATAATTTATTTAAAAGAAAAGAAAAGAGATAAAAAAGTAAATAAAATTTACTTAATATTTTCTTAATATTATTTATATATTATAGTACTAATATATATATAAATTAAGCTCTTAAATTATTAGAAGTTTAATATTATTAAAATCCTTATTTTAGCTTTAATAACCAGAAAATATTTAGAAATCTTAGTTTCTTTAATTACTAATAAGAGATTCTTTTCTCAAAAGGCTTTTATTATTATTAAATTATATAATAGACTTAAAAAAAGTATTTTTAAGAATATATTTAACTTAAAAAGCTAAGAAATATTCAAAACCGAATTAGAAGAGATTAAAAAAGAGAAGAAAAAAGAGAAAAAAAGAAGATTTTAAAGAGGATTACTAGTTTATTATTATAGAAAATTGGTATTTAACTATTATTATATAAGCCCTAGCTTAGTTTAATTAGAACTATTTAATAAGTACCTTAGTTATTTATTAATTATTAGTATTTATAAATATTTACAATTAATTATTCTAATCTAATTAAATTATATAAGTATTATATTAATCAAATTTTATTTATATTATTTATAAATATTTATAAATTAATTATTGTAATTAAATTTTTCGCACACTGCCAATACTTTAAAAGCGAAGCACAAAATGAGACCTTCCATCGAATATTCCTTGTTTGACTGATACTATTCGTATTAAGGGAACTGGACTAGACTAACTATCGCAACAAGAACGGCCTGCCTGTTGACAACACTAAGAAAGCTCCATACGCAACATCTCCCAATTTCTGAACCATCCAAATTTCCAATTTCCGAGCATTTGTATTCCAAGGTACCACAACGAACCGTAGTGGCTTTACGCTACAGCTCCAGTATCAGCAGGAGTCTGAGCCTGAGTCTGGCCGGTTTCTCTATGGATATCCTATAAACAAATGTTAGTTTCGTCTACTAGAAATAATTCTATTGATATCTATCACCATCACTTTGGACTGATATTGTTTTTGCAATAAAATCGAGCACTTACATCCATTCTTGTTCCACTCTTCTCATTCAAGTGTTTCCTATCATCCCGCTTCGTAAAAACAACATAAAGCCCCTTCCAAAGCATTAGCCTACAATGTGTTTACTCTGATAAATATATAAAAAAGAGGGGAGGAGGGAGGGGGGTTGTAGGCGAAATACTTACAATAAAAGAATTGACGAGCCAACAGAGCCCCCCAATAAAACTAAAAGCAAGAACAGTTCTCCATGGTCCACACCCAACGTTCCCGACCGGAGTGTATATAGGATAGGGGTGGTACCAAAGTCGTCCCCAGTAGTAACCCCAATAGTTCGTATACCAATAGGACGAACAAGTGTGAGCCCCACTTAGCTATATCGATATTAACATTTCTGTTGCTTTGAAGAAATTTTAAACTATGAATGATGTATTCCCTTTAGGTGTCCATGATAATACGAAGAAGAAAAAATGGAAGAAAAGATCAATAGGTAGTAGGTGAATAGGAGCGCTTACGTTGTCGAGCAGACCAAACGCAACCATCCAGCAGATAAAGAGGGCGCAATCGAGAGGAAATGCCCAGAATGAATACAAAAAGGGCGGCAGAAGGATGATGGAAGCAGCTACACTTATGCCGGCTATTACTTCAGCGTAAATAATTTTTGAGTCGGCATGTCCATTGCCCAAATCCAAAAGATATAAAAATCTGCCGAGGATACCAAGCACAATACAAGCGCAGGTCAACTCTCCGATGCGGAAGACGACTGATACGACTTTAGAAGCGGTACCCATTTTTGAATGTGGATTCTGTAAATGTTGAAGGGAAGATAATAACGTTTGGTGACTGTAAAAATCGTGTTCGGGGCGGTATCCTCACTATTTAAGTCGCAATTCGAAAACGTATTAGCTGAGTCCAAAATTTAACCTTGCGCCATTACCATGTCCAAGTCTCAGCTGTTCTGCAGGCATTACCGGATCCCATACGCAGTTTTGGCGAGACCGTCCAGGCCGTGGTCCGTTGCGTGGTCCGTGGTCCGTGGTCCGTTGTATCAGCTGAGAATCCAGGCTGGTCTGCTTTTCAAAAAATCTAATATATTGCATGGACTAAATTACTCGTTCGGGGAAGAGCGTAAGCCTCGTAACCCTCCTACATAATCTTATATATTGGCATTTCATGAGTGGGAATTAAAAGAACAATATTATAAAAGAGATATAAATAAATAATGAAGTGATTTGTAATCAAGTATTAAATAAGCCTATAGCTAATTATTTATTCTTATTTAGTCCGGTAATTTTTTACTTTTTTAACTCAAATATTATTATATCTTTATTTATATTTATTCTATTAAAATAACCGTAATTCTTGGCTTTTAAAGTTCTTAATATAATAATATTAAATATAATATAAATAACTTTATTATTAAGAGATTAATAATTAATTTGTTTTCTTTTATTTATTTTACTTATAATTAAGGAAAGTAATTATCTTATTTATATTTATTTTACTTATATACTTTAGTAATATAATTAAATTAAATTTTATTAACTATTTTAATAATATAAAATCTATATTTTATTATATTTAAATTATTATATATAAAAAAAAGAAAACTTAAAACTTAATATTTTATAATATATAAAAAAACTTAATAATAAAATATTATATAAATAGTTTATAAGATTAAATACTATTTTAAATTAAGAAATATATTTTAATTATATTTTTATATAATTTTAAAATATATTTATTATATTATTTCTCTTTTTAAACTTTTAATTTTAAGTTTAAAGACTTTTTAATTTTAAGTTTTATTTTTATAATATTTTATTTTTTTATAAATTTAATTAATTTATTTTAATACTAACTTAATATAAAATAAAAAATATATATTAAATAAGACTATTTTAAAATTAATTATAATTAATTATAAATTCTATTTTTTAGTTTCTTATTATTATTTTAGTTTATTATATAATTTATATAATTTTTATATTAATTTATAAATTATATCTTAAATTTTCTTTTAAAAATTAAGTATTTTATAACTATAATTATTAATTAAGGAAAGAATATTATAAAATTCTTCTTTTTTTAAATTATTAATTTTCTTTTTCTTTTTTTATAACTTTATTTATTTTTTATTTTTAAATAATCTTTAGATTCTTTTTAAACTTTTTTAAATTCTTTTTATTTCTTTAATTTTATTTTATAATTATATTATTATAAGTATCTTAATAATTCATTATATTAAATAATAAAATTATATAATATATATTTAATACCGAAATTATAATAAGTCTTATTATATTATAAATTATATTTCTATTTTTAATTTCTCTTTTTCTAAATTTCTAAGTTTTTTAAACTTATATTTTGTATTTTATATTTAAATTACTTAATATAGCTTTACTTCTTTTAATTGACTTTTTTAATATTAAAACTTTAATATTTTATTATTATTTTATTATTATTTTATTATTATTTTATTATTATTATTATTATTTTATTATTATTATTGTTTTTATTATTTATTAAATTAATTATATTTCTTATATTAAGAATATTATTTATAATATTTGTATTTTAGTTATTTTTATTTATTTAGCTTAAATTTAAACTTTTTTTAATAATATTATTAATATCTTTTATTATTAAATAAATTTATTTCATTTTACTATTATATTAATTATTATTAAGCTAATTTATCTTTAATTACTTATAATTATAATAAGTTTTTAAAATATATATAAATTAAAAGTATTAATTTAAAATATTTATTTTATTTTATATAAAGTTTTTTTTTAATAAAAGTATTTATTTTTTATTATTAATATTTTATAATTTTTTTATTAAATTTATTAATAAGTAATTCTTTTAATAAATAAGATTTTTTTCTTTTTTTATAAATTAAAATTAATTTTACTTTAAACTCTTTTCTTTTATTAATTTTTATTAGATTTAATTCTATAATTATATTAATTTTAAAATATTATAACTTTAAAAATAAAATATAAATAATATTATAAACTTTATATAAAAGTAGTAATTTTAAATAATATACTTTTATATATATTATTATAACTTTTATTATTTAAAAGAGTTTTAAATATTTATTTATTAAGTTTATATTTAACTTAAGTTATTAAATATTTCTTATATAAAGTATTATTTTATTTTTAATTTTAAACTTCTTAATAATATATTTTCTATTATAATACATCTTTTATATATTTATTACTTATTATTATTTCTTTAAGTTTTTTTTATATTTTTCTTAAATTTTCTTAACTCTTTTTATTATTATTAATAGTTTATTTTCTAAAGTATTATTTTTAATATATAATTTAATAACTAAATAAAAGTTATAAAATATATAAAAAGAAGTAGTTTTATTTATTAAATATTATAAATTATTATATATAAACTTAATAAGTATTAGCTTAAGGCCTAATTATTTTATTACTAATTAATATAATATTTTAAGTATTATTTTAAAGTTTAATTTAAGCTTTTTATTTACTTATTTATTTATAAATAAAATATTATATTTAATTAATATTAAATCTTGAAATAAAAATAAAGATTTATTTAAAACTTATTTATAAAAATAGAACTTTTATTTAAAGTTATATTTATTAAAACCTCGAAGTCTTTTATTATATATTATGTAATAAATATTGTTTTACTTTTATTTTTTAATATATTAAATATATCTTAATTTAATTTCTTATATTTTTCTTATATTATATTAAAAGTATTTCTTTTTAGAGATTTTTAATATTTTATATATATTAAAATAACTTTTTAAAAAGTTATTATAATTTATTTATAATAACTTAATCTTTAATATTATAATATCTTAATAATTTAATTATATTAAGTTCTTAAGTCTTAATATATTTAATAATAATTAGTTTTATAAAGTATTTATATTATTATTATATAAAAGAATTTTGTTTTTAGTATTATAAAAGTAATTTAATTAATATTTTTTTATTTTCTTTATATATTTTTTCGAACTTTATTACTTATAAAATAAATATTTATAACTATTTATATTAATAATAAGCTTAAGTAATAATATTATAATTATTATTTTATTATTAAAGCAGCTTTTTTTTCTTTAAAATTATTTAATATTTTATTAATTAAAAAGTATTTACTTCCTTTTTTAAGCTTTAAATTATAATATTATAAAAATAATATAATAATATATAACTATTATTTATAAAACTTTATATTTTATATTTCTTAATTTATTATAAAATATAAAAAATAAAGTATTTTTAATTACTTTATTTATTAAATTTAGTTTTTTTAATAAATTTTTTAAGTTATTTATTACCTTAAAGTATTTATAAATAAATTTTTAATAAAAGCTAATAAAACTTAAAAATATTTAGACTTTTTTAATATTCTTTAAATTTAATTTTATAAATACCTTTATTTATTATTTTATTAATAAATAATAAAATTATTTAATTCTTAATTATAATAATTAATATATAAATAAAGCCTATTTTCTTTTTTAAGAATAAATATAATTAAAACTTTTAGTTACTTTTTAAATAAAATATATATTAAGTTATATAATAATTAAGATCTTAATTTTAAATTAAATTAAAATTTTATTATATAATAATTAAATAGAATTCTTATAACTTTAATAAAAAGTATATTAATAAGATTTTAATACTTTTTTAAAATTAAAATTACTTCTTTTATTAATATTATATTAATTCTTTAATTATTTATTATTAAATAAATAATTAAGAAATATATATATATAATTTATACTTTACTTTTTTAATAAATTTCTTTATATTTAAGACTTCGATTTTTTTAAATCAAATTTAATATCTTTATATTATATCTTTTTATAAAATATTAAGGAATTAATTATTATAAATTACAGAAATTTAAGTATTATATTAATATTATTTAAGTTAAAGTTATATAAAATAAAGTATATATTTAATTTCTTATTAATTCTATATTATATCTTTTATAATAATTTTAAGAATATAATTTTTATATAAATATTAAATTATATATAAGTATAAAAAGTAATATTTTTATTATTATAAAAGAAGTTATATAAAGAGTTAAAATAAAAGAGTTTTAAATATAATATTTTATTTAAATTAATTATATATATAAATGAACTTTTTATATAAATTACTAAATTAGTATTTATATATTTGAGAAAGAAATCTTATAATTAAAAGTTATATAAAAAACAAAAAACAAAAAATCTTATTATAATATTATTTCTTTAAATAGTAATAAAATATTTATTTTTAAAATTAGTTTCTTTTTAATATAATTCGCTTTTATATTTAAGTTTATTAAGGCTTTAACTTAGTATTTTCTCTTTTTTATATTAATAATAACTTTAATTATTAACTTTATTTCTTAAGTTTTATTTAATATAATATAAATAAATATAGCTATTATAAAATATTATTATTTCTTTATTTCTTTAATTCTAAATAAATATATATTTTATAACTTAATTCACAATAATTAAAATAAGTTTATTATATAATATATTATTTCTTTTTTTAATTCTTATTATTAATATATTATTTAATTTTGTTATTATATTATTAAATAACTTTTTATATAATTTTTAAAATAAAAATTAATTTCCTTTTACTTTTTTTTTCTTCTTTTCTTATATATCTTTTCTTTTTTATTATTATTTTATTATCTTATTATAATAGTTTTATTTACTTTTAAATATATTAAAATAGGTTTTAATTCTTATAATTATAATAATAAAACGTTTTTAATTATTTAAAATATTTCTTTTATTATTATTTATTAATATATTTCAAGTTATTTTCTTACATTAATTAACTATATTAATTAACTATATTAAAGTTAAAATTATTTAAAATTTAATAAAAGCTTTTTAATTTATATTATTAATACTTATTATATATTTTTATTTCTTTTAAATATTTCTTATTATATTCTTAAAATTAGATATATAATATATAACTTTTATTATATTTATATTTTATATAAAAATTTTTTTTTAATAAAGTAAATCTTATATTTTCTTACTATTCTTTCTTTTATATAATATAGTTTTCTCGAGTTTTGTATTTTATTATTTTAATATATATTTTCTTTTTTAATATTATAAGTTTAAATTCAAAAAATATAAATTATTATAGTTATAAAAGCTAAATTAATAAAGAGCTATAAAGATTTATAAAATTCTTGATCTTATATTTTATATTTAAATAAACGGCCGATTTTCTTATAATAATATTCGAGTTAATTCTTATAAAATAATTAAACTAGAAAAGAAAGTAATTATTAATTATATATTTAATTAAGATTTTAGAGTATTCTTTTTCTAATAAACTAATATTAAAAATATAATAAATAATCTCTTAAAAATTTAATTTAATTATATTTATAACTTTTAAAGGGCTTTATATAAAGATCTTAAGCTAATTAGTATATAGTTTCAATTAATAAAAAATATATAAATAAAGTATAATATAATAAATAGTAATTTCTATAATTTTAATAATATTAGCTTTTTAATAAACTAAAGTATATTTAAAATAATTATTATATATATTAATTAATATAGTAAATCTAAAGAAATATAGCTAGATAATTAGAAATAAATAATAGTAAAAATTAGAATATCTCTTTATTTTTAGTTATTTAAGGCCTTAATTATTTTATAAACTAGTATTTTAAAACCGATTTTTTATATAATTGAATTATTAAATCCATAAATAAATAAATAAATAATAAAACGAATTTAAAATAATTAAAATATCTTAATAAATATATTATTACTTTTAAAAATAATTTATATTAAATACTAGTTTTTAATAAATATAAGAATTATAAATTAATTAAATTTTGAAACTATTATAACTCTTATAATATTATAATTCTTAAATTACTTCTTTATCTCTCTTATATAATTTAGCTATTTAATATTAGATATTTTAGTATATTAAAATAAATATATAACTAGTAAATTAAAGGTTTTATAAAAGCCTATATTTATTATATTAGTAAAGTTAAGCTCTTTATAGCTTTTAAAGTAATATATTTATAGTTAATTATATTCTAAAATAGTTAAACTGAATTTTATAAAGCTAGCTTAATTTTCTTTAATTTTCTTATAATAATCTTAAAGCTTAATATTAAGTTATAAACTTTAATACTAACTAGTTTTATTATTATTAATACTAATTCTTAAATCTTCTAAATATTATATAATTCAATTAATATTCTTTTATAAATAACTTCAGTTCGGAATTATATTATTTATTATTAAAAAAGCTTATTAATATTTGTTTTTATTATAATTATAATATTAGTAAAAAAATATAAAGTAATTCTTTTAATAGCTGAAATATATTTACTATAAAAAATAAGTAAATTTAATATAATAAATACTTTAAAGAGGTTTATTAAAATAAAAGATAATTAGATATATAATATTATAGAAATTATAAAAAAACCAGTTATAATATATATATTTATTAAAAAGATATAAATATATCTAGTTTATTAAATTTCGAGTAATTTTAATTAATTTAATATATAATAATTAAATAATTATAATTTAAAGTAATAGAAAAATAGAAAGATATATTATTTACTAATAAATTATATTATTAATACTTTATAAATAAAGTATATTATTAATAAAATAACGGCTTTTTATTATTTTATTATAAGAATATTAATACTTTTAAGTTAATAAATTTAAGTTCTTTATTACTTTTAATTTATTTATTAATATTATTTTTAATTCTAAATTTAGTTATAATGTTTTTATTTTATTTAATTATTTTAATTATATATTTTTAATAATATTTTTAATATTTTTCTATATTCTTTATTCTTTTATTTTACTATTATATTATTTAAATATTTTAATTATTACTTAATTACTTTATAATAAACTATTTCTTAAATACTAAATTAATTAAAATATAAAGAACTTAATAGTAAAATATTATATAAGTAGTTTATAAAATTAAATAATATTTCTTTTTAAATATTAGATAACTATATTTTATAATTTTTAATATTATATTAAAGTTATATTAATAGTATTTTAAATTAAAAAGTATTATTTTAAACCAGAAAATATATTTTAATTATATTTTTATATAATTTTAATATATATTTATTATAATATTTTAACTTTTTACTTAATATTAATATTTTATTATTTAAATCTTCTTTATTTTTAATATTTTTAATATTAAAAACTAATACTTTTAATTCCTTAATTATTTAAAGAAGGCTTAAATATTATTTATTTAATAATAATAATACTTATATTATAATAAGGGCTTATTAAGCTTATAAATAAAAGTAAGATTCTTAATTAAAAAGAGCTTATTTTACCTTTTATATTCTTTAAAGTAAAGGAATTTTATTTTATTATTTTTATAATCTTAAATACTTTATATAATTAACTTTTTTATTATTTTATTTTTTACTTAAATAAGCTTTTTTTAAAATTTTAAAGCTTTTTAAATACCTCTTTCTTATTCTTTACTTTAATATTAACTCTAAACTTATTAATTAATAATATATTCTCTCTTTTATAAATAATTTATTTAATATTATTCTTATATTTATTCTTAATTAAAAGTTTAGCTTATAAACTATATACTAAACTCTTTAAAAAAAATTAATAATTATATAATAATTAAAGGTTTATTAATAAATTAATATTAAATTCTTAAAGAAAGAAATAATAAAATACTTAAAATTAAGATTATAAAGAGTTAATTAAATAATTAACTTATAGTAATACTTTTAAAAATAAAAGATATTAATATTAAATAAGAAAAATAATAATATAAATATTATTTTAAACTAGAATTTATTTATTTTATAAAACTCGTAATTATTAAAGAAAAAGATCTTTTATAACTTATTTAAATTAATATAAATATAGTATATTAAATAATTAAAATATAATAAAATTATTTTATTATTAATATATTTTATTAAAGTAATAATTATTCTTTTCTTTTTAATAAACTTAAATATAATTTAGTTTTCTATAATTTTTTAGCCTAGAATAATAATAAAAAAAGAAAAAAGATTATTATTATTTATTTAAATAGTTTTAATTATTATTATAAACTTTTAATTCTCGAAGTTTAATATATATATTTCTTTAACTTCTATTAAAATAATAATATATTCTTTTTTTAAATACTTGAAATAAATTCTTATTTTATTTATATTAATTATATTCTTAGTTTTTATAATCTTATACTTATAAAATATAATATAATAATTATTAAACTATTTTTTAATCTTTATTTTAATATAATAATAAAGTTATATATAAGTAATTAACTTTATTTTAATTATATAAAATATCTTATAATTATAATACTAGTTAATAAACTATTATCTTAAAAGAATTAATATAAAAAGATTTTATTTTTAATAATATATTAATTTATTTTTTTGAAATTATAAAAATAAAATATATATTAAATATAAATAAATAATAATTAAAAATATTATATTATATATTATATATTATATTAAGCTTTAGCTTTTATTACTTATAATAATATTACTTTATTACCTTTTTTTAAAAATTTTAATTTATTTTTTAATCTAATATATTACTTTTCTTAATACTTCTTTTTTAATATAATATATTCTTATAACAAATATTAAGATTTCTTCTTTATTCTTAAGAGCTTAAAAATATATATTATTAAAGACTCGATTATAATTAGGCTTAGTTATATATAAATAATAGTAATAATTAGAGAAGAATTTCTTAATATATAAGGAATTAATTAGTCTTATATTAAATATATTAATAAGAATTATAATATTAAGTTATAAATAATTATTTAAATACATAATACTAAAATCGCGTTTTTGGTATGTTTTTACTCTAAAAATTAAGCTTCGGGTTTTACTAATAAGACACTTGTTTTTGCGGGATCCTTGCTTTCCCCGACTGCAAGGAAATGCGCAGCACGAGGCTAACCGACTATTAGTCATTAAATATCACATGCGATTTGGGGTCCCAACCAAATCAAAAGTCAACGCCACAAAAATTTCCCCGCTTTATTGACACTAGATGACGGCATTTGTCAGGAGATTATCAGACAATTAGATGAACTGACGACATCCAATAAGAATACGATGCGTATTCATTCAGTCTCGAACCTTGGGATACGTGAATCAAGCATAAAATCCCTCGCTGAAATAACGAATTGATCGGGATGACAAATTTTCCAGAAACAGATATTGAAACTTGTTTATAGTCCTTACCAAATGAAATTAGGTACAGCCGAGGCTCATATCTCCTACCGAGTTTCCTAATAAACATATATAATTATTTACTATTGAATATCTGTGATGTGAAAAAACAACGAAGTATCACTGATTCAGTTATTCGATAATTCTCTATTTATCCCGATTAAAAGAGTTTCCCCGATTATCTATTTTCAAAATCCGATATTTGAAATGAACCAAAATTCGTGTACAACGGCTGCTGCGCTGGATGACGAACCAACCTCTCTTGGGCCTCAACAACAGGAACAACACGATGGCCATGAATCACAGCACCGGTATATTGAATTCATACAGTAATTAGGAGAACTTGGCTTATTTGGGGTTGTAGAAGGTGGTGGCTCGTATCGAAAATATGCCCTCTAATCGGGGGAGTTTTTGGTATAGTAGCAAATGCCTTGTGTATATGTTCTCTTACACAGGATTGGAGGGAATATAGGCCTACTCAGGACTTACAAGATAAATTTCAAAGAATTAAAAACCCGCCATGGTAGGTAAAATCTCCTGCAACTGCTTAACTAGCATTCGAGCACTAATACTTAACTTTAATAGGCTTATTACAATTACTTCAATATGTTTTGGATGCGGCCTGATGTCAAACTTGGTGTTATTCTTAAATTTGAGTGGCCGACTTTCTTTCGTCTTTGCGCAAGCGACTACAGTTATAGGGTGGTTATTATCTTCTCTAGTCTTTGGTGTTTTAATCATTGTTTACGCTCTCCAGAGTCCTCGGACCCAACGGCCTGGCGAATACCTTTTTACCCAAGGGTTTTATTACGCGATCATGTCAACGGGGCTGTATTTCTTCATTTCTGTGGTTATGACTTTTGTTTTTGTCGGTGCGCACAAGAAGTATTATACGAAGAAATTCAGGCTCGGAAAGATGGAACGGACCCTCCTTCTACTACAACTCGGGTTGATGATCTACCTCCTTCTCGGGGCACTTGTTTTCTCAACAATCGAGGGTTGGCAATTCCTAGATGCGGTATTCTGGGCAGACTTCACGCTCTTAACGATTGGTCTCGGGGGTGACCTCACGCCGAAAACCAACTTAGGACGTTCACTATTCATTCCCTACGCTGTCAGCGGCATAACAATAGTAGGTTTGATGGTAAATTCCATTGGTGAAGTTCTGAATACCGCGAAGAAGGGAATACAAGAGCAAGCTCTCAAGAAACAAATTCAAAGGATAGAAGTTCGGATCCTTCGAGATGGAGTATCAGCAAGTAAGAAGTTACAAAAGACACATCCATCGAGAAGTCAGAATGAATATGAATTTAACGTCATGCGAAAATTGCAGGGAACTACAGCAAGGAAGTGTAAATGGATGGCTTTGACATTCTCAGTTCTCGCGACCTTAACCCTATGGTTGGTTAGTGCGGCAATTTTCACAGTGGCCGAGAGAGAAAACCAATGGACCTTCCCCATATCGGTTTATTTCACTTCCGGGGCACTTCTCACCATTGGATACGGGGACTTTATGCCATCGACGAACTCAGCCAAACCGATTTTCGTCCTCTGGACTTTGTTCGCTATTCCGATTATTACAATTACAATCAGCAATTCAGCGGACACTATTATTAAAGAGTTTCAAGGCTTTGTCCTTTTCATCGGGTCGTTAACGATATTGCCAGGGCAGGATGGTTTAAAGAAGGTGGTTAAGTCCTGGTATCTCAAGTTCACCAGAGATCGGACCCCTGTAGGAGCTTGTGTATCAAGTAAGGAGCATCCTTTCGTCTCGAAATTGGAATAATTGAATCCTCATATGTACATTCTAGCCACGCACACAGCCAACGGGCATCAAAAAAGCAGCGAGAAAGGAAGGATGGAAAAAAAAGAAGTCGACCACATTGCTGAGCGAGATACTTATTTCTACTACCACATCATTCCTAAGGAACTTTGCAAGGTCCTAGAAGAGAGTACAGTATTTCCACAAAAGCAGTACGGATACGAGGAATGGCTATACTACTTGAGCTTGATTCGCATGGGTAAGTGGGTATGCCTGACCCAAGAAAGGCGTGAATAGGAATTAATAGAACCAAAGACAAGCAACTAGATCGCGAGGGAAACATTGAGGGAAATTGTGGATATGCAAAGCCACAGGAGACCAACTGGCTGAGCCAGGCAAGTCCACTGTTAAGTTCAAATGAAGCGGAATGGATCCTCCAGGGGCTTACAGTGGTGCTAAGAAAGGGGCTTGAAAAGATGGTGTCGCCTTCTGAGTCTTCCAAATTTCAGATGAGTGAGATTGGAGGCTGCAGCAAAAATGTGACTTAATTCAAGGAAAACAAGGCCATTTCTCATTAATCTTGTTCTTATGCTACAGTTTTACAATTCCCCTTGCGAGGCAAAAGTAAAATGAGGCCTTTGTTCTTCCATACACAGACAGGCTATGTTCATGTGATTCTCCCCACCTCAACTGTGAAATCAAGCTCATCCCTACGACAGATTCGAGTCGGATACTAGGAATTATTATTTTTTACCTATAGACCTGTTTAGATAGATACTGGACATACGTCACGATTGCTCACTAAAGACATATACAACGGTTGCATGGATCCCTTCGCCTCCGAGAACCTTGAGTTCAAATCCATCAGGCACCCTACTTGGTTCATAGCTGTTTTTTCCAAAATATGGATTATCCCAATGTAGGATGATTGGATCATATAGAGCAAGCCCACTAATCGAATACTGCAAGGAGCCCTTATTACCGCCTCCCGTCGTTTCGGATTGTGATGCCCAGACACCATATTCGCCTGCAAGTATAGAAATAGGAGGTTCCATGCCTGGCTTCCATCTACTATTGTCAAGGTATTGCGAGCGTGAATCCAGGAGAAGCTCTTCGTTGGTTTGATTCAAGAGAATTATAATAGTGCTTCGAGTTAACATATTGAACTCTTTGGACGAACAGATGCCTGCTGTTGTTCATCATATTGGAACACTTCCGCGTTAAATTTAATTGGCGAGAAGACGGCCTGGATCGTGCTATCTGATTTTGCACGTGGCTAGAAGAAATCAAAGGCTAGTACGTTAGAGTTTAGCATGTTAAAGCAGCTAGAAAAACTGGTATTCCACCCTATTTTCTGCTCACAGGGAGGTCATGGCCGTAAGTTTTGAAACTGCCAGGGTCGACGCCACATCTCCCCAAACTAGCAAGGGTAGCACCACCACCGTGGCACCACGGCAGCGAGAGGGCGCTGTAATTATAGGGCCTTATAGGCCTCTCAGTGCTAAAATTCAGCCCACAGGCCCTATAAGGATACTGTGGCCTCTGTTCCTTAAGGCTATCAAGCCCCGATGAGTGGTTGCTGTGCCAAGCTTATGTGGCATTCTGCGGCTTGCAAGACTTACGTTAATGGCACACTTTCGTAGTTTGGCTTAACACTCAAGTGATGTGATTATCTGACAACACAGCTTGTGCATAGGGACGAGGCATGTGCAAAGGGACGAGGCATGTGCAAAAGGATGAGGCATGTGCAAAAGGACGAGGCATGTGCAAAAGGACGAGGAATGTGCAAAAGGACGAGGAATGTGCAAAGGGACGAGGCATGTGGCAGTCCCTTACTATCCCCCCCCCCATGAATAATTACGAGTGGGTCCAATATTCGCCACACTCTCATGCTTCACTCACGCCTCGCCTCACCCCATTTTCAGCCAATCAGAGTACGTAGAAGCTTCTAGCTCGCCAGTGCAGCTGTACCACAAGTATGGCAGAAAACACAGCTTCCACTGGCCATCCTTTACTTACTTATATCCTCAATTTTAAATGGACTCACAAGATCCACGCTTCACTACCCCACCGCCTGATTACGGCAACCTTTATAATACAGAGGCCCTACTATCTATACAGCCTCACTCTCCTCCTCTTTTTCTCCCTAACTCTTAAAAGACTATATAGTTATAGGACTCTTATAATAGCCCTAGGCTACAAATTAACAAATTACAGCCTATACAGTCTTGGGACTCACGTAACCTTCTCCCAGGCTTATAGCTTCTCCCAGACTCTCTTCTTAATAAGTCTATACTATCTCCTTTTCTCTTTATTCCAGACTCTCAAATAGAGCCTAAACTCTCTCTCTTATACTTATATATATATAATTCCTTATATATGGAATATATATATAATAAGTATCTCCAGATCCAAATAACCCTTTTTTTCAAGATACTATAGGCCTAAATAAAGGAGATACTAGATATTATAGATAGCCAAATTATCTATATAAAAACTCACTATTTTATATTTTAAAAAAAAGAATAAAAAGATATACTAAGCTCTATATTCTCAAGAAAATAACCCTTAAGAAATAGCTACTTATTTCTCTTTCTTATTATTATATAATATACTCTAAGATCCTATATTTCCTTTCCTAGCTAAGAGATAAGTAGGCTATTAGCTATTATTAAAACTAGATACTATTACTATATATTATAAAAGAAAGAGTTCTTAAATAATCCTAAAGTTTACTAAAAGAGGCTAGACTTAATAAAGAACAAAAGTATATAGCTATATTTATATATATAGTAGGTTTACTTTATAGATAAGATATAGATATTTAATAAAACTTATATAAACTTATATATTACTTATTTAAAGAATAAAAGCAATTACTTATTTCTTAAATATATAAGTTATAAATATTTCAAGTTCCTTATATAAATGTTTTAGGAGAATATAATTAATAAGAAAAAGGGGTCTTTTTATATTTAAAAGAAAGAATAAGGCTTAATTAATTCTATAAAATATAATTATAAAATTCTTTTAATAATAGAATAGTTCTTTTATAATTACTTACTTAGCTAATATAGGTTTTAATAAGATAATACTTCTTTCTATTAATTATATAAAATAAAGCTAAACTTATTCCTTTACTATATTCCTATAATTTAAATCCTTTAGTACTTATTAGACTTAAATCTTATTAAATATATATAAAGTTAAATAAAGAATTAGATAGAAGAATACTATTAGGAAGTATATTACTAACCAGATAAGATTTACTTAAATTAATTTTATAAGATTATATAAGATATATAAGATATAATATTAGATAAATATATTTAGGGTTTATATAATAGCTAGTAAAGACACTATAAGGCTATAAAGGAAGCTTATAGTGGGCCTATAAAGTATTAAGATACAGACTATAAAGTAGAGAAGTGGGAATAGCTTCAATTGAACTGGAAAGCGGTGAAGACTCAATTGTGTGCCTTTAGTAGGGTGATGTGTGTGTGGAGATGGTGGCGAATATTGGACCCACTGTAAGTATTCAAGGGGGGGGATAGTAAAGAAGTGGACGTTGTGTGGTCGTCCAGCGGAAAATTAGTGCTGCCTTGGCGGACGGGACATTGGGGGCGGCCACAGTCCGTGGCGTTCGATTTGCCGGGGATCGGGATTATGATTGGTAGGGAGGCTCCCGGCGGGCTCTGGAACCGTGCAGGCGGCATACGCTTATGCACATCATCGATCAGTCGATCTTGATGCAAGCAACAACAGACTCTCTCTCGACGACGTGCATGTGGGTGCCATGCATCACCACTGCTGACAGTACAGGAGGAGTCTGCTGTCTGCGCCGTCCACCCGCCTGACGCCACCTCCACCACATCTCGAGTACCCCACATTCTAAGGTAGGGCGTGTCCGCCGTTGCGTGCCCGCCGTTGCGTGCCAACTTTCTCTGCATCGTGGGGAATGCTTTCTGCTCCTCCAATTGCTCTCTAAAAACTCTTCGCGGACTCACGATTCGTACAAGGTATCAATCTACTTGCCTTCCCAAACGAAAAAAAAAAAACCATTAGGCCTCGTAAACATCCTACAATGGGGGGTGCTCTAGATATTTCGCTTGATCCTCAATGGCGCCATGCAGTCGCGGGAGTGGGATTACAGTCCGAGGAAAGGTGTAATTACTTGCGTGGATTGGTTGATATGGGCAGGTAACTATCATTTTCCCGTTCAGGAGCCTCTTGAATCAATCCATGGCCAGGAATTCCACCGCCAGCGCAACCACCGTCTCTGAAAACCCCCTCCCCTCCTTAATAGAGCAAGCAATTGACTCTAACTCGGTGATTTCTAGCAACGGCATTCGTTTCTCGGTGTCGAACCTTTCACCTCCTACTACCCGTATCCTTCCCACTCTTTATGTCAATCGTGTCGATATTTCCCTCTACGACGCACAATTCGATCCCGAGACTGGCGTTCGCATTCCCATTCCATCGCCCGTCACAGAATCTGTCATTGGTGCTCTTCTACGCTTCCAAATCATCTGCAAGGATCTTGGCGTTCCCGACAATTACATTCGCATTATCGCCACTGAGGCGACACGAACTGCTATCAATTCCGACGAGTTCCTCAAGGCGATCAAAATAGGCACTGGGCTCAACGTAGACCTGCTGTTCAAAGAGGAGGAGGGCAGGATTGGTGCGCTAGGGATAGCGAGCGGCTTTTCGGATATTCAAGGGCTGGCCATGGACTTGGGTGGCGGGAGCGCGCAGATTACATGGTTGATCTCCCAAAGCGGCAATATTCGCCTGAGCCCCAAAGGTTCATTCAGTTTTCCCTACGGAGCGGCGGCTTTAACGCGGAAGCTGGCCGAATTGCAAGAAGGAAAAAGCAAGAAGGAGGCCGACGAAGCCGTTGCAGAGTTTCGTAAGGAGATGGTGGCCAACTTTGTCGATGCTTACAATCACCTGCAAGTCCCCCAAGAGCTAGTTGAAAGAGCCAAGAGGGAAGATGGATTCCCATTATATCTCTCGGGCGGAGGTTTTCGCGGCTGGGGCTACTTACTACTCTATGTCAACCAAGTGCATGGCCGGCACTATCCCATCTCTCTAATCAACGGATTTTCCGCCCAAAAAGAGCAATTCGAGGACACAAATGTGTTGAAGGATGTCGCGCGTAATGCACGCGAAATCTTCCGCGTCTCGGATCGACGTCGTATTCAAGTACCCGCCGTCGCATTCCTAGTCAATGTGCTCGCCGAAGCGATACCGCACGGCATCAGAGAAGCTCATTTCTGCCAAGGAGGGGTACGCGAAGGAGTCCTATTCCAGGAACTTTTGCCCAGCATACGGAGACAGGACCCCCTCGAAGTCGCCACCATGCGCTTCGCACCCCCATCCGGAGATGCAATTCTCAACCTCCTTATATCCGGCATCCCTCAACAGTCAAAGACGAGTGCAAAAAGATTCCCCGAATCGATAAGCAGTCAGGTCATCGGCAGCTTCGTCCAGACTCTCTATGTACACTCGATCATGTCCAAAGAATCGAGCTCCACCGCGGCTTTATATAGTACTAGTACCGGAATAATGTCCTCAACACACGGTGTCTCCCATTCAGACCGGGCTCGCCTCGCCCTTCTGCTCGAAGAGCGATACGAGGGCGAATTGCCTCCACGAGAGGTCGATTTCAAAAATAGCCTCCGCCAGCTCCTAACTCCAGAAGAAGTATGGTGGACACGATATGTCGGCAAATTGGGTCTTCTCATCAGTAAAATATATCCCGCTGGTGTAATCGATGAGGCAAAGCCCCGAGTAGTGCTTTCAGCTGAGTGGGCGAGCAATCTCGGTAAGAGGAAGGATAAGCGAGGCTTGAAGGTGATTTGGTCTATCCAAAAGGTCAGGCGAGATCCGGCAAAGTTGAAGGAGGCATTGGAAGATCATATGGGCGTTATATATAAAGTGGGAAAGAGGAAGAATTGGATTGGGGGAGAGGATGGTTGGGGAATGGCCGTTGATGTCAAGGTAGTAGAGGAGGATATTCTTTAAAAACCGCGGTATCCCGACCCTCTATAATAGCATCAGAGTACATTAAAGTACTTCCGCTTCATTATACAAATTACATGCTTTTCACACATTTCAATACTCTCTTATATTTAATTAATTACCTTTTCAACTATTATTTATAATATAAGAAATAAATTAATAGCTATTAATCTAATTTATTTACGAAATATTTTTATTAATTATATTCTATTTATAAATTAATTAGATTAATTAAAATATATATAACTATATATATACTAGACTAGCTTTATTAACTAAAGCTTTAATTACTTTTATTTCTAGCTAAAGTTACTATCTAATTAGATAATAATAAAGCTTAATAAATAAATTAAAACTTAATAATACTTTTAAAACTATTTCGATTTATATATTTAATAATATTATATTTAGAAATTAGAAATTAGAAATTAAATTTTTAGAATCTTTAAAATTAAAAGAATAACTTAAAAACTTTTTATAAAAAAAATTGGTTTATTAATAATATATAAAGTTAATAAAATAATTAATATTTAAAAGTAAGAATTATAATATTATAATATTAATATATAATTCCTAAATTTATTAAGCCTAATAGAGTTTAGTTTACTAATTAAATTATTTATAAAATATAAAATTATATAACTATATCTTATATTTTATATTTATTACTTATATTTTATTATTTTTAAGTTTTATAATATAATATAATTCTTGAAATAATAGTTATATTAATATTAAAACCTCTTTAAAAACGCGAAAAATAATATTTTCTTTTAATTATATACTAATTTTCTAATTTAATCTAATATTAGACTTTTTAAATACTTTATATATTTATATATATTCTCTTATTTTATATTTCTATTTAATATATTCTTATTTATATTTAATTTATTTCTTTATATTTAATTATATTAATTAAATATTTAATAATATTTAATAACTTTAATTTTATTCTAAAATTAATAGAATTTTATTCTTTTTTAATTTATTTAACTTTTATAATCTCTTATTATTTATATATATAATAAAGATATATTATATTAATTATTAAATATTTCATTGAAATAATATTTAATAAAATAAAATATTTATATAATAACTTCGAATTTATATAAATAACTAGTAATAATTCTATTTCTAGTATTTTATTAATTATAAATTTAATAAAAATACTTATATTAAAGCTATAAACTATATTATATAATTTTAAAACTAAAATACTTCTAATAATTCTCTTCTATTTAATAGAAAACTAGTAAATAATATTAATATATTTAGTTTTATTTACTAAAACTAGAATATATTTAATTTAAAAAAATCTTTATTATTTATAAATAAAGTATTTATAAAAATAATTAAATATAGGAATTTCTTTATTAACTTTATAAATTTTAGTTCTTTAGTAATATTTTTAATTTATTATTAAATATATTTATTAAATACTTTTATATTAGTTTCTAATAATTTAATAATTTAAATAATAATTAATAAATTATATAGAACTTTTAATTAATAAACTAATATAATATATATATTTTTTAATTAAAATAGTTTAAAGGTTTTTATATTAGTATTTTTATATAAAAATAATTCTAATAATATTTATATAAATAATATTTTTATTAAACTTGAAATTATATTTAAAAATAAAATATTTATATTTTTTAATTAAAAATTTAGTTTCTTAAAACTTTAATTATTTTATTTTTATAAAATTACTTATTATAAAAGAGATAAAAGTTATAAATTAATTATTTTAAAAAGAGTTTATTAATATAATAGAAATAATGAATTTTAAATTAATAATTTTTAGCTTTTAATATATTATATAATAGTTTTATAATTTTAAACCCGAATTATTCTTTAAATTTAGTTATTTAATAAACTTATAAAATAAATTAATATAGAAATTATAATTAAATATAAGTTTATAAGATATTATATAAATATAATTTTATAATATCTATTATTATAATAATAATATTAAAAATAATTCTTTAATTAATATATTAAATAATAAATAATTAAATTAATATAATATATTTCTTTTTATTATTATAAGCTTAAATAATAAGTTTTAACTTCTTTAGTTTTTTTTAATATTTTAGTTTTTAATTTTATTAATGAATCTAGAATTAAAAATATATATTTCTTTAAATATTTAAAATCTAGAAATAATTTCAAAAATATTCTTTTTTAGAAATTTAATAATTTTAGCTTAATAAGAGTTCTTATATTAAATATTATTTTATAAAAATACTATAATATTCGGATTCTTATAAGATTATTCTTTATTATATTTTAATAAAGAAATATTACTATTACTTTTTTTATAATTGGTTTTAAATTAATTAAAATTATTAAAATTAATTCAAATTTCTAAAATATAAAAGAGTTTAATAAAAGTCAAATAAAAAGTAATATTATTATATAATAAAATTAGTATATAATTCTTTCTATTAATAGCTATAAACTTATATAATCTTTTCTAATTATTAGATTAATTAATATTTTTTTTATATTATATAAAAATATTCGAATTTAAAAGAAGTTTATAAATATTAATTATACTAGAACTATTTTAGGTATTTAAAATATTTATAATTTAATATTTAGCTTAAATCTTTTAAACTTTTATTATTATCTTTTTAAAGACTATTAATTATTATAATATAATAAATAGTAAGGTATTATATTTAGTTATTTAAAATAAAATACTATAAACTAAAAGAATTAAAATAATATTATTAGGTTCTATAAAGTTATTAATAGTTTTAAAAGCTATTTAAAATGTAGTATTTTTATTAATTCTATTAATTTCGGTTATAATAATAAAATAAATATATTAAATCGAATTATAAATAATATTTAATAATATTAATAAAGTTATAAACTTTTATAGAAATAATTTTATTCTTTATATTTATAGTATTTATAAGTTAAATAAACCTTTTATTAATAAACTACTTTTTAATATTTGTTATAATTTAATTAAAAGAACTTAAATAAATATTAATCTAATATTATTTTAAAGTATTTTAAATATATATTATACTAATATTTTAAAGTTTTTAGCTAGCTTAATATTAAATACTTTAATTAATAATATAAAATATTAATAATAATAAAATAATTAAAGCTAATATTATCTTTTAAATTAAACTTAAATTATTTTAATAATTAATTATATTTCTAATATTACTTATAATACTTTATAAAATATTTAAAAGCTTTTATATTAATATTATAGCCTATTTATTCTAATATATTTTAAAAGCTTATTAATTAATAAATAACTAAAATAATAGTATAAATATTATAATTTAATATCTATAAAAAAAATAAAAGTTATAAATAAAAAATTCAAAAACAAAATATTATAATATAATATTTAATAAAAGTAATAAAATAATTAGTAAAATTATTAAAATATACTTTAAGTTTATTTATATTAAACTAAATATAAATTTAATATTAAACTAGATATTAACTTAATTTTTAATAATTTTATTAAGTTTAATACTATTATTAGTTTATTATAAAGCTCGAAATTAGTTAGAACTAGTAATTAAGTATCTAAAGGCTCTAATATTAATTATAACTTTATAAAAGTAATAGATATTATATTTGAAAATATCTTTAATTATAAAGATTTAAATATTTTTATTACTAGTTTTATTAATATTTTATTTATTAATTAATATATAAAGAAAAAAAAACTGAGGTTATTTATAAAGGTATTAATTATAGTTCTTAGTATAATAAAAGTAGCTAAAAGGCTTTTAATTAAAGTAAAATAGAAATCTAATTATTAATTCTTTATTTTTTTATTAATATTAGAAAAGCTTTAAAAGTATTATTTAAATAATTCTCTTTATTATTTTTATTATTATTCTTTTAATATTTTTCTCTTTTAACTTCGGCTATTAGCTATAAATAGCTATTATTAAACTTAATAGAAATTTAAAGCCTTAAATTAATATAGGCTTCGGGTTTTAAATCGAGTTTTTTTAATCTTTTATTTCTTTAATATATATTTTTAAAAGCAATATTCGGGTTTTCTATAAATAAATTATAATTTATTTAAATTATTATTATAATTATAAGGCTTATAGCTATTCAAGTAGCTATTTCGGGAACTATAATTATAACCGGAATTATATTAATAATTTCGAAATAAATAATTATTTAATTATTCTTTTTAATAATATTATTAATTAATAAAGAAAGTTTTAGTATTAATCTATTACTTCTTTTTATAAGTAGTAATAGATAATTAAAGCTTATTAATAAATTAATTAAGATTAGAAAACGAATCTAAAATTATATATTAATATATTAATAAGGCAAATACTAGTTCGTATTATAATTAATATAGATTATTAATTAGTAATTAAATAAGCTTAAATATTATTTTTTAGAATATTTAACTATTATAATTACTAAAATAATAGTATTTTATTTATTTAAATTTCGATTTTAGAAATTAAAGCTTTTAAAAAAATCATAAATATTTATATAGGCCTCTTTATATATATATTAAAAGAGCTAGTTATTATAAAAGTAGTTTTATACTAATTTCTTTAATATAATAAAGAAAGCTCTTATTAGTATCTCTTATAAAAGCTTTATATATTAGTAAATATTAAGGAAAATAATAAGCTTATAATTAAAACTATTATTAGTTCTATTATATTTTTATTACTTTTTTAATAAGTTTTATAAAAATAATAAATATTAATTAAAGAATTCTCGGATTTAATAATAATAATAGTAATAATAAAAATAGAAGTAATAAATAGCTTTAATTTAAAGAAAATAAATTAATTTCTTAATTTCTTAATTAAAAATATTTAGTTTTCTTATATTTAGTTTCCTCTAAAATAAAATAAACTAATATAATAGGCCCTTATAAAAGATTTATTTTAATTAAACTATTTTTAATAATATTAGCTTTGTTTTATATATATATATATATTTAAATAAAATTAACTAGAAATTATATAATAATAAGGCTCTTATAATTCTATTTAATATAAATACTATTATATTAAAATTAGACTTAAAAGCTTTATAATAATATATAGCTAATTTAACTAAATACTATAGTATTAAAGTTCTTGAAATTATTCTAAATAGATTTTATAAATTATTATTACTTTTTCTATATAAGATATATTTAATATATTTTAATAATTAAATATTTCTAAAAATTATTTTTTATTATAATTACTAAATTAATCTTATATCTTAATTTCTTAATTAGCTTCTTTCTCTTCTTAATATTTATATTAAATCGATTTTAATTTTTCTCTAATATATATATAATTTATAATAAAAGAAATTTAAAAATAAAATAGTTTATAATAGATTTATAAAAAGAATTTAATAATAAAAACATTAAAATAATAAAATAAATATTTTGCTTTTAAATATTTTATTTATAACGAGAAATTTAAAAAGTAAAATATTATAATTCTAGAAGAGTTTAAAGTTTAAAAGATTTAATTTAATAGTAAAATCGAAGTTATAATTAAAAAGCTTTAAAAATATATATATAATATATATATTCCGGAAAAAGGGTTTTATATATTCAAGTATTATATAAATAGAAAGAATAATTACTAAAAAGGTTATTTTATAACTAAAAGAAATTAGTTTTAAAGAATAATAAAAGTTAAATAAATAATTAATTAAATAGCTAATTATTTATTAATTAATAAGAGCTAAATATTTTCTTTATAAATTATTAAATACTTTTAGAACTAATCTAAAATCTTTTTTAATTTATATATATAAACTAATTAATATTAGTTTACTAGTAATATATAATATAATATATAATATATATAAAATAATTAATATTTAAAGTTAGTAAAATAATTAATATTTAAAAATAAGAATTATAATATTATTATATTAATATATAATTCCTAAATTTACTAAATTTAATAGAATCTAGTTTATTAATTAAATTATTTATAGAATATAAGATTATATAATTATATCTTATATTTTATATTTTATTATTTATATTTTATTATTTTCGAGTTTTATAATATATATATAACTTTTAAAATAATAGCTATATTAATAAAAATATATTATTTTTCTCATTTATATTTTAATAATTCTTAATTAAACTTAATTTAATTTAAAACTATTCTAATTTTAAATTAAAACTTTTTTAAAAAATAAGCTATTTTCTTTAAAAAAAAATCTATTTAAAAAAATATTAGATTTTATATAAAAGAATAATCGAAAGACTTATATATATTATAAAGTATTTAGTTTAAAATTATTTTTTCTTTATTATTATTTATACTAATAATTAATAATTAAATAATTCTTTTATATTATATTAAAAAGAGTTTAATTATAAAAGACTTAAAAGATATATACTTTAATATTTAACTATTATTATATAAGTCTTAGCTTAGTTTAATTAGAATTACTTAATAAGTACTTTAGTTATTTATTAATTATTAAGTAAATATTAATTACTAGTATTTATAAATATTTATAATTAATTATTCTAATCTAACTAAATTTTATTTATACTATTTATAAATTAATTTTTTCGTATATCAATTATTTATAAAGACTCAGACTGCCTATTAATTTATTTGTAGCTTATTAATACCTTTATTCAGTTATTCGATCTCGTATTCAGTCGGTATCTTTTATTCCTAGATGTATAGAAACTGAAACTTTCCAAAGTGCATTTTTCGACTCTATAAAGTGCATTAGGGTGTTAGTCCCAGTGGTATGACCCGCTTTTATCACTGAATACCGCTGGAAAATGAAGGCATTGTTGCGCTAGGCCCAAAATACGGTGCAAATGATATTGAACCTATTGATTCAGCTGCCGATTTTGCAATGATCCGGAGCTGGTATATACAGGCCCTACGGCTGAGCTCTCGGGGCTCCAGTGATCCTGTGCAGCTGAATCACAGTGGCGTTTCACAATTATATCCTATTCGATATTGCATATTGAGTTTCATGAACTCTCTTGATTTGTACATTTAACTACACATGCATACAATTGCACGCGTGCAACATTGGTGATAAAGGAGACACAAGTGCGAAAGGACGTAGAATCGGAAACGGTAATTTTTGAGAAGTTAATTACGTGAACAAAATTACCCACGCCGCTAATACCATGGCTATTGCAAATGAGACCGGGTTCAGGAGACTCGCACCCCCACTCGACTTAATAAGGTTTGTTGGTTGGTATGGAGCCGGGGCAGTCGAGTTTACGGTACCATTCCAACAGTACCTGTTGAAGCATTGAGTACAGACTCCGGGAATGGCCGTCCTAGTTCGATTGAAACTTCTCGACAGGATCGCGCAGCCTACACAAGTAGGCCACTGAAGATCAAGCGTGCTGTTACCCATTGTGGCAACGTTGTAACCGTTTTGGATGATTGAATTGCGTTCCGAATCGTTGTAGCTGAGATCAAACGTCGACACATTCGAGCTGTAGCTGTATGGTGCGTTTGGAAGGTAGACTATCAAAGGACTAGGTTCCGTTAAATTCGAAGCATTGCATCCAAAGAACGTTGGACGGGTGTTCAAACCCAAGTTGATAAACGTGTTTTGATCTGGAACTGAAGGAAATCCAATATCGCTCGAATCAAATAAGGATCGACGGTACGTTGCAACAACGGCCGTGCCGTTTGGCCAATTCGCGCCAGGGGCGGATGTATCAGCTGAACCATCAATTGCGAATATAACATCGACGTGGCGTAAAGGTTGAATGAGAGGGTGAAATGGTATGTTCTGAAGATCTTCTCCGCCATCCACGAGAGATAAAGTTTTGCTTGCAGCGTTTCCGTTCGTCTCGTTGTGAAAACCGTAAAACGGATTTGGCCAGTCGGAGATGTCACTGTTTTCTTGACTAACTTTCAAGAGAATCTGGCTAATTGAGTCTTTTACTCGTTGAGGGGCATCCGTATTGTTGATTTGGAGGTAAAACGTGTTAAAAAGTGACGATGACGTTCCAATGACAAAACCAGTATTATCGAAGCCTGTGATGCATGTTTTGCGGTCTAAGAGTGTACCTCCACTGAAATTTGAGCCAATGAATTTGAGAGGTGCAAATGCTTGAGTCGTAGGATCGTAACTTCCCATTTCCCATGGATTGAACTCAAATATCGTAGCATTGCTCGGGATCATTAGTTGGCCTGGAGCTCTTTCGTCAGCGATGATGATTGGCATTGGAGTGTTCGCAGCTAGGAATCCTGGGTCATTGGCGATAGAGGAGAAGGTTTCACCTATGGTACGTTAGCAGTTGATACCTATCCTTGAGTATCATATTCGCACTTGGACCACCATCACTTGCATTGATAAATTGATAGGATAAACCACGCCCCCAATAATCTGTGATCGTCGTATTGAATCCTGCCGCTTCTTTTCCATTCACGTCGTCAAAGATATTGTTATAGTACTGAGTGACGGACAACTCGGCAGGGCCTACACAAGTTATAGAAATGGTTATATAGTTTGCTGTGGGGTCATGTACCTTTTAGAACAGAGTCGTTAAATTGCCACAATGTACCGAAATCATTGGGAGCTCCCATCATTATCTCTTGCACAGAAGGAAAGTTCTGTGCGTAGATGCTTCCAACTAGCCAGCTTCCGCCAGACAAACCGCTTATATATGTGGAGGCTTGAAGAATTCCCCCTAACTTGCCTTGACCGGTGGAATTCGTCGTTCGATTGTCGAATGCTGCGATAGCACCAGCGCCATTCAACATGGCTCTATACCCTCCCCCTGATATGGCGATGCCAATATTTGGCATCACATTTTCATCGGTACCGTTGCCGATATAGGCGTTAGTATCCAATTCAGTTATGTTGGCACGGCTTAGGAAGTCTCGCAGTGCCCAGACCGTGTTTGGTTGCCTCACTTTTAACCAAGATGTCTCGTTGACAGAAAGTGTGGTTGCAGCTCTTATTGTGGGCAGGACTGGGGGACATTGTACGGTTGATGGGGCATAACCGGTTGTAGCTCGTTTCCAAGGCATTTCGGGGGGGATAAGCTCGACTTTGCCGGTACGGACTTGTTGATGTGGTAACAAAACGACAGCCCCTATAGAACCTGTGAAACATGCTCTCCAGAACGGGTTTTAATAGCACTTGCCTGTAATCATGTAGATAAAACAAATAAGACTATGTAGTAATGGAAATTGGCCAGCCATGTTAATCCTGTGCGTTCGAGATTCTTGCAAGATGTGGGCAAATATTTGTGACCAAAAATTGTATATTGAATATGGTCGCTGTTTCCAATCTTAAGGAATCCGCAGGTATATTGGAACCGAAAATCCGATACTGATAGATGAATCCGGTAGAACTATGAATAACTGCTGGGCTTACGTTCGCATGTGAGCCCGATGCACATTGGACTGTGTATTAGCGGTGGGAAATCTGACACCTTCCTTCGCAGCGGAGAGCACGGCAGACTGCAACGTATGATAAGTACTATCTATGGCATGACAGCTTCATTCGCTATGGCTTGCATTAATGGCATACTTAGCGCGTATGATCTATTATTGCGTCGGATGTGGCATGTGAAGAACCATAGCTGAACACGTCTAATTGGAAATTCAGACTGAAATCGAAACATGGGCAGACGGTGATCATACCACAATTTCTCCTCCAGCTTCGTTTTAGATCCCTGCATCGCCTTGCAGGAGGGTTCCCAGAGAGAAAATAGGGTGGTCTGACTAAATACTTCAACATGTTGCGTAGGGGTTCTAGTGGCAGCCCAGTGGCGCTTTCTCAAAGATCTGTGCATACGGCCCCAGGCTCGGCAAAAATTCCTTAATTTCCGGTATCAATAGTTATCGATGCCAGAATCGTAAGGTATCGATAGTATTAATACCAGTATCAATTCTTAGTAAGTATTTGCCCTATTTCTAAGGCTCTAGCTAATTTTAATACCATTATCTAAATTATATCAAATAACTATATAAATTACAGCTTTATATAATATAATATAGCTTAATCCGAATTATTTATATTCTTATTTTAGTTATTAATAATCTCAAATACCTTTAAAATAAGCTCTTAGCTCCTAACCCTCTCTCTAACTTATATATACTAGTTAAGTTTAATAAAATAGTAGTTTAATAGTAAGCTTAGTAAAATCTAGTAATCTAAACTTGTTTTAATAGTTATAATAATATATATTACTTTCTTTATATAAGAAGTAATAAATTAAAGCTATCTATTATTACAAGTAGCTTTTAATAATAAAATACCTTTAATTTTACTAATTTTACTCTTTTAAATATTATAATTAAAAGTTCCTATAATTCTATTATTTTTAATATCTTACTTTTTTCTGAGATTATTAATATAATTTTAATTTAATAAATATAAGTTACTTCTTTATACTTTATGTAATTTATACTAAATAATATAATAGCCAAGTTAATATTTATATTTCTTATATTATTTACTAAAATAATTAAGGTATTTTTGAGAAATACTTAAAGGTTTTTAAAGAAAAATAATATAAAATATATAGTAACTATATTTATTATAGTTATATAATCTAATATAATATATGAAATATTAATAATAATAAAGAATAGCCTAAACTTTATTTTAACTAATATATTTTTTCTTTATTATAAATAAATAGAATTAGTTTCTTTATATTATATAATTATCTGGCTTTTATATAATATTTAATAAATTATATAATATTTAATAAATTATATAATATTTAATAAAATTATATAATATTTAATAAATTATATAATATTTAATAAAATTATAAAATATTTAATAAATTATATATTATATAATATTTAATAAATTATATAATATTTAATAAATTATATAATATTTAATGAATTATATTAAGCTTTTAATATTTGCCTTCTTTTAATTTCTCTTTTTTAATTTTCTAAGCTAACTAATTTTAAAAAAATATTTAGAATTTTACTTCTTTTTTAATACTTTAAATATTCTTATATTTTAATTATCTTTACTTTTAATTATATCTTATTCTAGCTTATTACTTATTAGTAAAATTAAAAGAATATTAATAGCTATAAAAAAGAACTTTAGCTAATATTACTTTTATATATTCTAGTATTATTTTATAAGAGTACTCTTTTTACTAAAATTGTATAATTCTAATAAATTATAATTTTTAAACTTATTTTAACTTATAAACCAAGCTCTTATTATAAGAAATAAAATAATATAATTATATATATCTAGTTTTAATATTTTATAAAACAAGCTATTATATAAAAAAGCTAGTAAAACTAATATAATAATAGCTCTTTTTCTATATTTCTTTTAAAGCTTTTTAATTTTAATTAAAACTAGCTTTAATTATTTTTTTAGCTAGTATATTTTAATATATTTTATATAATTATAAGAATTTAAGATTAATATAATAATAATAACTAGAAATATATTAATTCTTATATAATAATTATTTAAAGCTTTATATATTACCTTAATTTAATAAAGAAATTCTTTTTTCTTTATATCTTTATTTTTTTAATATTTGGTTTATTAGAATTAATATAATTATATATAAAAAAAATTATATTTTTTTAAAGGTATTTAATTAAGATATTTATAATAAAAAAAAAGTAAAATTAAAAGAAGTTAAGCTTTTAATAATAAAAGTAGCTTATATAAAGAATTCAAGAAATTTCTTAATTATATAAAGCTTTTTTTAATTTTTAGAAATTAAGATATTTTTCTTAAACTTTTTCTTATAGTTTTAATAATATATAAAGTATCTAATACTAGCTATTTTATTTTATATAATTATTTATTAGAATTAGTTTTTTATAAGTATATAAAACTTTTTTCTTCTTTTAGCTAATTTATAAATATAAATTATAATATTATATATTTAGCTAAAAGAATTTATTAGCTTAAACTAAGCCTTTATTACTTTTATTATATTAAAAACTTTAGCTTGCTTTTATTTATTATATAAATTAAGGCTTTTAAACTAATCTAATTTATAAATAAAAAGACTTATATAACTAGATTAATAATATAGCCCAAATAATAAATATATTAGTAATTTGTTTTCTAATTTAAGCTAAGTTTATTCTTGAGTTTCTTTTAAATTAGTTAATAAAGAATATTATTTATAATAACTTTAAGCTTATAAATAATATTATAATTTTAAAGAATTAGCTAAAGAATTATTATTTAAGCCTTTAAACTATAACTAGAAATCTTTTTTAAAGTAAAAAAGGCCTTTTATTACTTTTTATTATATATAATAAAATAGCTATAAATTATAAATAAAAGCAATTAATTTAAAGAGGTTTAAATATTAAGAGAAATATAAATAAATAAAAGTATAACTTAAAAAACTTATTATATAATATTTTAATCTCTTTTTAAACTTTTTTAACTAAGCTAGTAATTTCTAAATAAAAAGTTATAATCTTGCCTTTAATAACTCGATTAAATACTTAATAAAAGATATAAAACTCTAGTTATTTAATAAAAGTATAAAATAGATTTTATATAATAATAAGAGTAATTAAGACTTTTATAATAATCGAGATATTTAAATAAGCTTTTAAAATCTTAATATTAAGCTCTTTTTATTTACTTAATTTAATAGTTTAATAATAATATTACTTTAATTACAAATTAATTACTATTTAGTTCTTATTTAAAGTATTTTTAATAGTAATTTTATAAATAGCTTTTATATACTTTTTTATATTCTTTAAAATAGAAATATTATATAGTAATCTTATTAAATTAATATAATAAATATAGTAAAAGTAAGCTTAATTCTTCTTTTTAGTAGATTTATAATAATGCTTTTAAATAGCGGCTTTCTATTTTCGGCTTTAGGAAGTTATAGTTAATTCTAGCTCTATTAAAGCAGAAGCTATAAAGGAAGAGTTTAGTTTATATAAAGAAGATATTTTGAGAATGTAATTCAAATAGAATTCTAATGTGAGGTGAGAGAAGTAAAGAGAGTAAAAATTAAAGGGTGCTGGGTAGAAAGCGATATAAGGAATCGATTCCGGTATTAATAGTATTGATGCTTAGTAATACCTGAATAATACCATCCAGTATCAATACCGGTATCAATGCCTCAGGTATTTTTGCCGAGCCTGTTCGGCCCGGCCGAGTCACACATCACCACTTCATATTTGCCACACGTTCTTAACTGGAAACTAGGGCATATAGAAGGCTCAAAAAGGTGATGAATCCGACGCAGCAGATATAATTAAGATTTGGTACGAATTTAAACAAGCTAGTACGTCCCCAAGTAACCTCAGGATTATTCATTGGACTGAATTTACTTCGTACTAACCAGAACAGTCGGCCAAGCGTCAAAGACATAAGATTACATTATACCATGGCCGGGCATTCTAAAGAAGAGATGGCAGCGGCAGCTATGGGCGGCGTTTATGCTGCTGACCAGCTCATGAAGGGCATGAAAGACAGAAAGGAGGAGGATCATGGTGATATGAAAGCGCATTTCGTTAGGGCGGCCATTGGTGCTGCTATTGCTGTCGGCGCTCTGGAAATGATGCGGGGGGGGAAAAAAAGTCTGATAATCACCAAGGAACGGAACACGAAGACTCAGAATCTGAATCTGGTGAGGGCCCTGTTGATAGCACCGCTCTGGCTTTAGACCGTGGGAAGAAAGGCGCCCAGCAAAATCGTCAGCATCGTCACCATGACACTGCCAAGTTCATTCAGGACAGCGCAGCGGCTCATAGGCCTGGGAGGAACGTGATGGGCAACAGAGATCACAGCATTGTACTTCTAATCGCCGAGGCTCTCGGTGCCCTCGGTCTTCTGAACAGCGAGGATTCGACTGTGTAAGATGGGGGAAACTAGGTCATTATTCTATGCATTTTAGATCACATTCACTTGGCTGTTATGTATGCAATTAAAGCACCGGCATATGACCTTATTTTGAACCTTCATTTTAGCAATTCATTTTGAAGCGATGCACCACTTCTCAGCATTACAAGATTACTCCGTACCCAGCAATAAATAGTCTTTGCCTCCTCAAGGAAGAAATTGAAATGCAAGGGCGATTATGACATAGCTAGTGCAATAATAGTAAGTAAAAATCCTTTAATCCGCCGTGCAATCTCATTAAAGGATTTCTTACGTTGCTAGACATATCGCTCCTTCGAGGTAATTGCTTTTGCCATCTCCAATGAGATTAGTAACCATAAGCACCCCTAAGAAGAGCGCGACCGTTTCAAAGGGTTGAAATTGTAAGGTCATGGGCTCGCTGATGTGCATTGCCCATCCAAGCAGAACTAGGAGAGGTGTGACGAACAACGCAATCTGCATGCTACGGCCAATGGCGAAGTCGAGAGCATGATCCATACGGTTTTGATACGCATCGGTCATGGCAGCAACACGCTCGGGTCCCTCTGCGACGAGTGGGAGAAGAACCAAGCCGAGAAGCCTCGAGCTCATAGGTGACGATTCAGTAATTGAGTCGCTCGCGCCCATCAAGAAAAATGCGGCTGCGGCCGTGAGCGGCATGCACAGGAGTATAACTACCCCATCGGCCACCAAAGACGAGGATTGCTCGACTTCTTCCTGTCTATCACCTCTTTGAACCGGACGGCCTTCAAACAGGTCGGCATGCGAGTTGAACCGGAAATTTAGATACACAACAAAGAGAACGAGCAGAATAACCGCAATGCCGCGCGAGAGTTTGATAATGCTCTGCTCGCAGCTAGAGTTGGCCCTGCATTGAGTTCCGAAGAGAGCCGCAGGGATAACTAGAGATGCTGATGCCACATACATCATAGAGGATGCCGTAGATGTAAAGGTAGTGTTGATGACTGACTCTCTGTGCCTGATTCCAGCGATAAGGAAACAGAACCCTACAACCTTTTTAATTGGTGTTAATTATATATTCCAAATGCTGGAAATGCCGTGATGTTCTTACAAGCAATGTGTTTGCCAAGATGCTTCCAAGCATACTGGATTGGACAACCTGGGTATGATTGGTTGCGAGTGCTATGATACTCACCTATATATATATTAGTCACGATTTTGTTATTCTTTGTCAGTGAACTTACAATCAGCAGAACTGAGTTCCCAATTGTGGCTTTTAGAACGATTCCTAGCAACGGGTATAGTCTTTCCGATGTTGCTGTCAACGTAGAAGAAAGCAGCTTCGCGAGTGGTAGGAGAGCTAAAATATTGAATATAAAAACAACTCTAGGGGCCCAAGTAAAAATGCCTGCCACTATGCCTAAAGGAACAAACACGACGAGTATGTTAATGAACATTTTGGGTTTAAGACATCGTGTCAAACGACAGAAGTCTCTAAACCATGGGAAGCAAAGACTTCCGTTTCTTGAGAGCAGTCTATCTCTGTGAGGTTCTGGCAAAAGATCGTCATTCTCATTTATTCTGCTGAGGGGATCCATTGCTTCTCGATCCAAGGTATGAATAAGAGAGGTTTCCCTGCCGCCGTGAGGTAATATAGCAAAAAAGCCCGATATTTTTAAATTTATAGACTGAATGGAGGCAAGGTAGGAAGCAAGAGAGTCAATTGAAGTAAAGAGAGAAGGAAGAGAAGTTTCTGTGAAGGAGAAAATTCTTCCTTATAGCGAGCGAAGCTAGGAAGATACTAATGCTATATTGAGGCTAGCTCGTGCCCCTAAATAAAAGCTTTACGAGGCTGGTCGCTGTAGTCTGTGCGCACAGGCCCTATTTTAATGACAGTCGCTTACTAAACTCATTAAAAACATATTATATGAATGCTTTTATCTCTCTTCTCAATTTTAACTATTAAAAAAAATTATGAGATCTTTATAAAATACAAGGAAATAATCTGCTAATTATATTAATTTAGAAATTAAATTTATTATTCTAAGAATATTATAAATTAAATTATTATAAATTAAATTATTATAAATTAAATTATTATAAGTTAAATTATTATAAGTTAAATTATTATAAATTGAATTATTATAAGTTAAATTATTATAAATTAAATTATTATAAGTTAAATTATTATAAGTTAAATTATTATAAGTTAAATTATTATAAGTTAAATTATTATAAGTTAAATTATTATAAGTTAAATTAATATAAATTAAATTATTATAACTTAATTTTTATAAATATAAATTATAATTATTTAATAATTAAATATTTTAGTTTTCTAGTTAAGTATATATTTAAGTAAGCTATATATTTAAATAAAAGCTCGAGTATTGAATTTACTAGCTGAGTTATTAAATAAAAGAATTAATATAATTAAAAGCAGAATAATAGTATTAATTTAAATGCCTTATTAAATATTTTAAAAATATTTCGAGTAAAGAAAGGCATTTATAAAAAATTAGTTTAAGAAGCTTAAATCTTTTATAAATAAGTTTGTAAATAGTTCTTTTATTATAACTATATATTATATATATTTTTTATTTCTAATTTATAAAGTAAAATATAATATTATAATACTTAATATTATAAACTAATAAAATATTTATAACTATTATAATTATATATAAAGCTTCTAATATTAATAATTATTTTATTATTTTATCTAATAGCTAATTTCGTAATATTACTAATAATAAATCGCTATTTTTTTTAAAGTAATTAAGACTAAAATATCTCAAATTTATTTATTAATCACGATTTTCTATTATTATTAATAGTTTTTAATCTAATTATCTTTTTTTATTATATTATAAAAATTTCATTATATATTTTATATAAGAAAAGTATAGTCTATTAAATAAGAAGCCAAGCTTAAGCTTAAGTAAATAGTTTTATTAGAATTTAACTAATTATAGCTATATTATAATCTTTTTATTAAAAGAAATTTCTCTAAATTAAATTAAATAAATATTATTATTATAATTAAATTATTTCTATTTATATAATATATATAAATAAAAGCTAGAATATAAATAAAAAGGAAATCTTTACTTATATTAAAACAAGAAATAATTTATTTCTTAAAAGAATAAAACCTTATTAATTATAATATTTATTAATTAAGAATTAATTTATTAAAGAAAAATAAAAATATATAATTATATATATATATATAATAAAATGAAATAATACTAAAATAATTAAAAGTGCCTTTAAGTAATTTTATATATAATATAATTTTAATTTAAGCTTTTTTCTATTATATAGACTTTAATAAAATTCTTATATATATTAATCTTATTAATTTAATTATTCTTATTTTCTAAATATTCTTTTTATTTAATTTAGTATTAAATAATTATTTTTTTATACTTTCTTTAATTAATTTAAATAACTTAATTATTTATAACTTCCTTAACTTTAAATTAATTATTTTCGAAATTTATAATAAATAGCCTAATTTCTCTAATAGCTTATTTATTAAGCTATTAATATTCTAGCTTTTAATAAGAAGTAAATATGCCTTTTATAAAGTTATTATTATAATTATTATAAGCTTTATTAATATATAAGTTAAATAGCTTTTTATAATTAAAAATATTTTATAAATTTTATTTATAATAAATAAATAATATAAAGTTTATATAAATAATCTCGAGTTATTTGAATTTAATAAGTTATTAATAAATATGAATCTTTATTAAAGTATTTATATTTTGCTTTTTTAGTAGCTATATCTTTATAAATTAAACTATTAATTAATTTTATTAATAGCTTTTTTCTAAATAAAATATCTTTAATAATTAAAGAATTTAGCTAATTATTATTTACTAAAGTAATAAAAGCTATTATATTTTAGTTAAATTTAAGGCTTTAAAATATTAATAGTATTAATATATATTTAAAGCTATAATAATATATATAAGAGAGTTATTAGCTTTTAAGGCTTAAAACTTTTTATTAAGATTTATAAGATTTTTTATTTTAATTATATTATATTTTAATACTATATTATATATTTTGAAAAACTTTCTTATAAAATTCGATTTATAAAAAAAAAAAATTAAATTTTAATATAATAATAAGTAAATTATTTTGCCTTTAATAAATATAGTAATATTTAATATAAAATAAAGAAATAAGTTAATATTATTATTAGTATTATTAGGAATTTATAATACTAGTATATAAGTTATATTTATATATATATTAGTTATTAGTATTAAAGCTCTTAAATTAAATAAAGAGAGTATTAATAAAGCTATTAAAGAAGTTATAAGATATATAATAATAAGGTAATATATAAATAATTAAAATAAATAAACTTTAGAATAATATTTGTAAATATAACTAATTTCCAAGAGTTAATTTTAATAAAAAACTAATTAATATTTCTTTCTAAAGCTAGAAGCGTTTCCTTATATATCTTTTAGTATTTAATTAAATATATAAAGCCCTTTACTTAATTAGAAAATATAATTTTATATAAGCTTTACTTAAAATAGAAAACTAGATTTATAATATCTAATATTTATTTATATACTATTATATATATCTATTATATTAATTCTTTTTCTAGGCTTTTATTTCTAAAAGGCCTTAAAAAACTATAAATAGCTTTATATATATTTTCCAAAACTTCTCTAGTTTTTAGTTTTCTCTTAAAAACTTTCTATATTTACTTTATTACTATATTAGATAATAGATCTAAGAATATAATTTACTTAATTTATCTAATTAATTTATAAATTGCCTCTAGTAATTTCCTCTTATAAAAATAATATAGATATAAAGCTTATTTAATTTTCTAATTAGTTTATAAATCCTATTTTAGTCTCTATTCGCAAATTAATTATTATTTTATTAGTCTAAAAGCTTAAAAAATTTAATTTAATTTTCTAATTTATTTATAAATTCCTTTTTTAAAATTTTCTAGACTTTTCTAATATAAAACCAGTTTCGAATTTGTAATTACTACGGGAATAGAATATTATAAAAAGACTTCTTTTTTCTACTAATTAATTTTCTTTTTCTTAATTATAATATTATATCTAGTTCTTTCTTATATCTTATCTTTTTTTAAGCCTTTTTTAAGCTTCTTTTAAGCCTCTTCTAATATTTTCTTCTATTTCTTTATTTATTAAAATAAATTCTTCTTTTAGTATTTATTAGCCTATTATTAACTATTTGACTAATATTTCTATAGCCTTAATTTACTTTTATTATTTTTAATATTTCAAAAATATTACTAAGATTTCCGATTTTATTTATATTAAAAATAATAACTATTTAATATATAATTACTATTACTTTAAAAATAAGAAATATAATTTTATAAGTTATAATTTTCTTTTTTTATTTCCTATTCTAATACTATTTAAAGTTCTTTAACTATATATAATATAATTAAATTGCCTTTTCTAAGCTATAAATATAACTAATATAAAAGAAAAACTATAATAAGATAAAAACCCATATAAAATATATTAGAATATAAAATATAACTTAATAATAAAATAATAAAAATAAAGATATAAGTAATAAAGTATAAATAATATATAATATATAAGAATTCAATTAATTAAATATAAAAAAGAAATTAATTATCTAGAACTATAGAAAAGCCAGTTTTCTTATATAATTTCTATTAGTTATATATAAAAGATTCTAGCTTTTATTATATAACTAAAACCTTAAAACTATTAAAATAAAGTAATTTTAATAAAATATAACTTACTATATTATATTCGACTTTTTATTTATTTATATTTGTTTCCTAAATACTAAAACCTAATAGAAAATCCCTATTTAGAATTCTAATTTCTTCTTAATATATCTAAAATATAATCTATTACCTTTAAATAACCTTATTTTATATTCTCGAACTTACTTAAAAGTAATTCAAACCTATTTAACTATATTCTTATATTAAATATAATATAATTCTCCTTATTATTTAATATTTGCCTTTAATTATTAATTAATTCTAGCCTTTATAACTAGATATTAAAATAGCTTATTATAATAAATTATATTAATATACTTTAAATAAATAGCTTTTTGAATTTCGTATTATTTATAATATTCTTGAATTAGCTTTTAGTAAAAGAGAAAAGCTTTTAGTAAAAAGCTTTAATAACTTTATAGAAGACTTTATTTTTATATATTTCGTTCTAAATAGTAACTAGATTTATTAGAATTAAAGTAAAAGGCTTTTCGAATAATAGATTATTATTAAGTTATCTTTTAACTACTATTTTATTCGAGAACTACTACTTAATTATAATTTCAAACTTATAAATTATTTAGCTAAAGGCATTTATTTATCTAGTTAAATAAATTATACTTAAATACTTTCCTTTTATTTCTTTTACTAAATACTCGCTTAATTCCTTTA